TCAGCTTACCCTCCCCCTTGTCAAGAGATCTACAAAACCTAGGGCTTCTCCTCACCAACCCCTTTTTCAGTGTTTCTTTTATTTTAGGTATCACAGTTAGTCTAGGGCTCCTTCTCAGTACAAGTGCATTTGTGTTTGAGTTATCTTGAGTTTGAGGTGAACTGGGCTGTGGAATTGCAGTTTGTTGTCTTTGTCTAGGCCTTTTTTGGGTTGGGTTTGATGTAGTAGCAGTGTGGGCTGAAGTGTATTAGGATTGCAGCTGGTTTAAAGTGGGATTTACTTTGGGGTTCTTATCTTCAACAACAGTGCTTTGTGGGTCCTGAATAGGGGAAGTGTCATCTGATACTGTGCAAAAAACCTCCAAATATCCATCCCTATGCTTAGCTTCTACTAGACCTTGAACATCCTCAACTGTTTCTATCTTTCTTTTACCAGTCATCCATGTCTTCCCCTTCTCTTTGTACCACAGAACATATATGTTAGGAACTTCCCAGTCCATGTCAACTATCCCCTGAGCACACAAATACCTTAAGTACCCAACAGTTACCCACCTCATAGGAACTTCCCTTCTTCAATAAGTGAACCCAGTTTTATACACAAACCCCCCAAATATTCTAAGCTTAATATCAACAACATCACCAACAAATCATCCTCATCTGCCATGTGTTAAATCTACAGTATATAACCAATAAACAAATACACTAATCAAAAACTAATTGCAGCACTGTATAAACTAATCAAGCATCACATAAAGTAATACAATTAATCTAAAAAGCAGGCATGCATCAATTAAATTAGTCAATTAAATAGTCAAATTGCATACTTTATTCAAAACCACACTAAATTAGGGTTTACTGCAGATTTCCCCAAATATACCTCAATTTACATAAGTAATTGCACAAGTACAACCATTTTTGGACCACTTAAAGTAAATAGGGCTTTGTACCTTATAAAATGCCAAGTCAGAAGAATCTTCCAACAATGGTGATGATGAATCACTCCAGCTAATCGTCCATCCCTTGCTTCGCTGTCCCAGTAATACCCTTCCACGCAACCTTGCTCAAGCTCCAAAATTCAGATAAGATATGAAAAAGAAAAGTCACAAATCTGACATATGAGAGAGAAAGAATCGAAGTAAAAAAAAAAACGCTTCAATGGAGTAACTATGGAGCGTTGAATCGCTTCAATTGAGTGAGAATTGAGTGAGAAAGAAAGTAAATGAAATGGCAGAGGGTAGGTTCGAGGAGAGAGAAGAAAGAACAGGGAGGTTAGTTAGGTGAGTGGGGCCCACTTAAGATCTGCAGTAACAGAGTCGTTAAATGGTAGCAAAAATTAAAAAAAGTGCAAAAGTTAGGTAGTAAAATAAAATAAATGTTTTCATAGGTAGTAAAATTGAAATTGAGGTGTTTCCCATGTAGCAAAAGTCAAAAAATCCTTATTTTTATTGAAGTTACTAACAGTTTATTCATGATGTAGCAATTCAAGAAAACGTAGAAAGTGAGTAATTAATCACTTACTTAATTATTTTTATTTTTAATATTGCTAGTATCATAATTAAGTTATTTTATATTTGATTTGACTGACGATATTATTGTTAAATTGCTTCCAATATTAATGTTTGTTCTATTATTATTATGATCATCATATTGCATGTTTAAAGGGAATATGTAATTGAAAATCATGCCTAATAAGGTATTTGGACAACTGGCTTAGATTCCTTTCTAATCTTGTTGTTTAATGAAGTGATCACGATATCTATACTAATATATTAAAAGGCGTTCCTAAGAACGTTGATGTGCCACATAGTCCCTATTTTGTTGCGCCACGTCATCTTCCCAATATCTCATGACGCCACATCATCACTTAAACAATGCCACATCACCCAAGCAACCACTCAAACAATGCCACGTCGCTCAAGCAACTAACATTACCAACAATGCCACGTCGCTCAAGCAACTAACATTACCATATAAAAACATAAGGATAAGGGATTTCGAACCCTCACCTCTTATAACACATGTAACTATTAAACCATCTAAGCCAATATTAACTATGTTATTTGAATGAAAAAAAAAAATCATATAAGTGTCACAAGGTTCAATTAAAAATTAATAAAAAAAATATTTAAAGAATAACTCAATATTAGTTTGACAGCAACAATTGTTGTTTTGAAAAGCTTTTTAAAAAAATTATCATCAATTGAACGTCTACAATAGTAGAAACTTGGGGCAGCGCCCGGGCTTACTCACTAGTTTTAGAATTATATGTTGCACTAATATTCAACCAATTTAGCCTAATAATATTTTGGAGCAAATTGAATCTTGGTTTGCATGCCTTTGAGATCACAGGAATCACTTTTCACTATACGAATCGAGTAGAGGCCAACACGGGCGAATGTGACCCTCCATGACTCACTTCGTACCATCATCCCCGATCCTCCTTTCGTGGTTCCGAACCATATATATGGAGTTAGTAATATCATGGATTATAAATGGGGTGTAACCTTCACGGGTCAATCGTTGTTGCCTTCGGTACCCTTATTCTTGGTTGCCTAAAATGATCCGTGAACCGTTTACAAGTTCCTTAAAAACTTGTTGGCGGATCCCTACTTTCCTTGTTCCTAATCGTATTATGTCAATTCTCAATTCCTATGAGTGCCAAGCATATTCAAAACATGCTTAACGTAGGCGCACTTCAAACGACGCCTACAATGGTATACTTTTGAACCATATATATGAAATCAAAACAATACCAATCACCCACCTAATGGTATCAAAACAATACCAACACTGCATATGAAAGTACCATAATCAACATTGTTCTTGGTATAAACAAACACCACAATAAGATTGCTACTAAGTCTAAACAACATCATTTGACAACTACACTTAAAATGCACAATCTGAAAAAGCCTTCCCCATTTTATCTTTCACCTTCCCAATTTATCTTTCACATAAATTATATATAATTTCAACAAAAGTAATAGTATTCTAAAAATTTTAACAGAACGAAAGTTGGGAACTTTAACATGTTACATATCAAATGGTTAACCTAAACAAGTCAAAACTTTATAGTAGTTTCTTGCTGTAATTAAATCCCTAAGAATGAAATTCAGCAAGATTCAAATTACAACAAAGGAAATCGGAGAAAGCAAAATGAAATCTAGTATAACTTGTTTCGTGAATTAATTGAACAAGAAATTACATAACCCATAAATAAAATTCATAAATCAAAGTAAAAACAAACTCCTAAAAAGTAAATAGAAAAATTGAATTTATCAAGGGATTATAATAACAGAAGTTGGGATCAAACCCCAAAAAAAAGGAGGAAAAGTAAAACAAAAGCAGTAGTTAGTAAACAAAACTCAAGACTAAGAGAAGAGACAACACCACCAACACATTAGAGAAAATAGAAGAAGTTGGAGAATTCCTAGAATACATAGAGAAAGAAAAGGAAGAAGAAGAAGAAGATAAAAAAGGAAGTGAAGAATTAAGAGTGGTGTGTTGGGTAACTTTGCATCCTTAAGAGAGACAACACCACCAACATCAGAGAAACAATCAACTTGCTTATTATTTTAAGAATTCAGATAACCACATCCGACCACACATTTCAAACAACAATCATGAAGGCCTGTTTACTTCAGCTTAATTTCAGTTCAGTTCAATTTAGTTCAGATCCAATCAGTTTAGTTCAACTCCAATCCCTTCAGTTCAGCTCAGCTCCTAATTTTCTTCTCTCCCAAATTATTCATTTCAGCTCTATTCAATTCAGTTTAGCTCCAATCATTATAGTTCAATTCAGTTCATTTCAATTTAGTTCAGCTCCAATCAGTTCAGTTCAGCTCATTTCAGTAAATGTGAACAGGCCCTCAACCAACACCACATACCAAAAATTTCTGTAATTTCAACAGAAATTACTCAACCAACAAACCCTAATTACGCCACATATTCCTAATTCTAATTATCAGTACATGAGAATCGAACCCATGACTCCATTTCAAAACACCATAATTCGAACAAATTATACAATGTAAAAAATAAAAAATAAAAAATAAAAATAAAAAAAACAAAACAAAACAAAAAAAAAAAAAAAAAAAAAAAAAAAAAAAAAAAAAAACCTAATTCCTACAATTTACAAATAAAAAAACCCTAAATTTTCAATTATAGACCAAAAATCCTAATTTCACGGTTATATGCAAGCTTAAATCACATAACAATTTAACCATACATTCAATTATAACATGATCAAACCTCTAAGTAAAAATAAAAAAATAAAACAAAATCTCCAATTAGAAGGATAAGAGAACTTACCAGAAATCGTTCCAAAACGCTAGGTCTGAACCAACCGAAAGCGTAACACACCCAAATTGCAAACTCAACACACTGTCGTCTTTTCGTTTCTTTGAATTCTTGGTCTCGACTCTCTTCGCTCCTTTTGATTTCTTTCTCTCATCAGTAAAGTACACAAAATTGCTTTCTCTCTCCTCTGAGCACACCTCTGTTTGAATTTCTTTCTTTCTATTAAAACCAACTTTTTTTAACATTTTGAATTTCAAAACATGTTCCGAGCATGAGGGGCCCACACCTCTGGCTTTTTTTTAACTATCCAACAGAATAGGTTACCTAAAATTACTTTTTCACCCTTGATAGAGTCCAAGTTGGACTCAAGTAGGTTGAGACCAAGATTTTCTAGAAGATTGGCCATATTATTGCAAACATTTAGCATTCGTTTTATTCTCAACAAATTTTGACAATCGGAGCATTCAACACATTTATCGTGAAGCAAATCGAGCAACCGACATAATAGCTAATGTTAGTGACTTATTTAGTGATAGTATGGTTGTACCTTATAACAATTTTGGTTTATTTTCTTTTCTTGTATCCCATGTATTAGGATTTTCCCTCTAAAAGAGTCTCCTAATGTTTCCTCTTTTTCCTTGTCTAAAAAAGGTATGTATGCAAGATACAACCTTTTAAAAATATCCTACAATTTTTTCTGACTTAAAAATATACAATATACACTGACATGTACTTTTTTGTTTATCTAAAGATAAGGAAAAATTTACAATATTAATATATAGATGCATATGTAGGTGAACAGGAACAAATACGTAGAAACACACATATGTAGGTGAACAGGAACAAATACGTAGAAACACGAGAGCCAGCACCAAACACGCCACTATAAAAACAATCAAACCCACCTAAACACATCTAATTATCTACAGATTACTGTCAGTAACCTATCAATTGCAACAACAAAAGTAACACACGAGAAGCACCAAGAGCAAGTAACTTTGTACATCATAGAGCATAAATTCTCTCATGGTCGGAGTTATACTCGTCAATGTCAGAGACATTGATGGAATAGGACCAAGAAAATGATTTGCTTCCACTTCCCCTTCTGATGCGTCTCTGTGAGTCGTTTCCAAAAATCTTGAAATGATGTCGAAACACTAAGTAGCACATACTAGCCAAAGTCCCCATCAACACAATTGTCCCCAGTATCGTCACAGTGATGGCCATCCATGAACCTTCATCGCCTACAACCACAAAAGCTATTGCCAAGAAAGCTCCACAAGTGCTAAGACAGGCAGCCCACATTAGCTTGTTAGTTACAGTGACAACTAGCTTTTGAGCTTGAGTATCCCATGCTACTAAAGTAATTTGGATAACGACGACAGCTAGAGAAATGAAAAGAGATGCTGCATTTAAAAGGCAGAAAATTCGAAAGGCAACAGTGTCAGCAATGTTGGCTTTCCCTGCATCTGGTCCAGTTGTTATATACTGGCCATTTAGATTAAATATTGCCAAGAAAGCAATAGAGGCAAACAGCACAGCTACAACTGTAACAGAATTGGTCGTGTTTTGGACAGCTTCTCTATGAAGTTTTTTCAGTTCTTTTGCAATGCCAAAAACCCTTTTGTTGGTCTTCTCATTTTGTAAAAGTTGTGACTGCACCTCATGTTTTATGTCACTCACAGTCCTCTTCAGTTCCATAGCTGCATCCATCTTACCAACATTCCTAGCACACATTCCACCAGACTCTATCAAGGCTTCCCGAATCACTAATGCAGATTCTCCATATTGAAGCTTTGACGCTATGTCCATTGCTGTTTCTTGCTGATTGTTGATGGCATTGACTTCAATAGATGTGTAGCTCAGGAGAAGGCAGGCTATCTGTAACAGAGAATCTATTAGTACTCCAGAAACTAAAATTAATACGAGTATGACAAATATGAACTAAAGGATGTGTCACTAAATTCCTGAGGAAGAGGTACTGTATATACATGACAAAGCAAACCTCAACATAAAAGAGAACATGGCAACTAAACTGGGCAACGTCTCATTCTCAACTTCAGATTACTGGAGTAATAAGCATTTATCAATATGAATGAGCAATATTTAGACAATGTTTTTTGAAGTGTGCTATACTTGATTTCATAGAAGTCAATTGCCAAATAGAGCTTTGCTTTTCACAAGGTTTGGAGAATGGCTGCATACTCAAATCCTCTCACACTGTACAAGTGAAAGGCATTGATAAGTTAAAAGAAGAGTTATCAAATAAGTTTCCTCTTATTTACAGGCTATGATATTTACAAGTTTCCTCTTTGATAAGCTCGAGACTAATAAGGGGTAAAGATATCATATAAAAATAATACCTCAAGAATTATTGTGACAAGAAAGTGACGACTAAGGAAATATACAAATACTTATGCTGATATCTCACATGGCAGTCATGTGCACGCATGCATGTAATTGAGATGCCAGGACTCAAGATAAAGAAGTCAGAAGACAGAATCTTGGAAGTCAAAGGAAAAAGGTGAAGACCAAAATAAAATTTTACCATGTACAGGTAAACCCACCCAGACACAACAAAGCACATTGCAAAACACACAGATGTCATGCCCTGGTACACACACTCCAACACAACCCAAAGACACAATGATGCACGTATGTGAAACACACAAATGTGCATTCCTAGATACACACTCCCACCCACCAGCACACCCCTACGTGCACACCCTTGCATGTATGCAATAGACATAATGCGCACACACTTTCCCTCTCTCCTACCCACAAAAACCTCACATGAAGGCACAAAGAAAAAGTAAAATCCAAATTATCCCACACAGGTTCCTGATCCTTGGCCACAACAGGTGAATTTTTAGAACTCAATTGTATGGCATCTCTGTGTTTCATAGATTGTTACCTAGGACTACATCTATTGGGGTATTGATCACGTAGTGCAATGAAATTGTCATCAATTTATGGCCTTGTGCACCAAGTAGACTAATCACTAATTTGATGGCCATTTACAGAGTTTGTGTAAAAAATAGACAAGGTTTTGTAAAGGAGCATATAAAAAAGTACATGCCGGATAATTTTGGATCATCGCAAACCTAATGATCCTAAATAGACTGATCAGATATAGCGGTATTCTTGAGGCTCTAAGCACAAATTCTAAAAAGCCTACAAAACCTATAGTGCCCTTCGTCTCATAGAAATTAAGAGAAGTGGAGTGAGTGTATAACCTTCTCAAAAGTATTAATGAAGCTTTCAATATAGGGGGTATTTTATGTTAAAAAAAAAGGAGGGGGGGGGGGGGGGGTTGGTGCACCAGGGTAATATTATGTAACATAAAAATAGATTGATTAGACATTTTGGGACACCCAAATAAAATTCAAGCACTATATTTTAGGATGTAGAGTGTATTAAAATATATGTTTCACCATTTATACTCCAAGACAAACTTATCATCATACTTGAATACGATTTTGGGACTTGGGTATGGATCCAAGAGTCAAGTGAGAAATTTATAAACTGTAGATACAAGGACAACAGACAAGGTTGGTAAGTGTTCAAAATTAAAAAGTGGGACTGGTAACCAAAAGAATAAACAAGAATTGTTTGATGGGAAGGTGCTTCTGGTAAAAAAGGCTAGATTATATATGTTTGGTTTCAAATTAACTATTCACTGCCATGAACTCACTCCTTATGTCCTTCGGTTAACATTAAATTGGAGAAGAGCTTCCACATTTCCCTCCAATTTCTCATTTTTTTCATTTCCTCCATGAACTAGGAAAGATAACAACTTCATTTCACAAACTACGTATCATTTAGACACAATTTTATGCAAGAGTAAGATACTGTTCTCTTTACTTGAATTTGACTTATCCAATATTATCTTATCTTATTACTCCTATAATTATCTAATCTAACTAATCCTTATTTATTAAACTTAATCTTATCTTTAAACTCTGATTTATCTTATCTTATCTTATCTTATTAGACCTTTATAGACCTTACCTAAGATGTTATTAGATCTTATTGGAACTTATTAACCCTTATCTTAAATTATCCAAACTTATTAACCCTTATTATATATTGTCTAAACTTCTTAGCCCTCGTATAATATTATTTGAACTTATTATCCCTTACGTTATTTGAAAATATGAAACTTGAAATAAGTGAAAATAGGTGTAGAGAACAGAACCTAAAGAGAGTGTTTAAGGGGGAAATATAAGGTTTCGTTATAAAAGATGCAAGGCACAAAAATCCTTGGAGCCTAGGCAAAGAGAAAGTGCATGCCCTTTGTAGGTGAGGCATACTTCACTTGCAAACAAAAATTTATTAAATTCTATCAAATAAATCTAAAAAAGTATACGAAATATGAGGTTTCTCTCTCCTCTAGTAGTTAAGTAAACCTAACCTTCATACAATTCCATAGTGCTTTTTTAAAAGAATAATCTTACACGTTAGCAATATAATTGATACAGCTTAAGGCGCAGGAAACAGCCTAGAAAAAAGCACATAGGTGTGTGTCTTTTGTAGGTCTCTAAGCCTCGCAAAGCTAAGGTGCCAGCTTTCGTACCTGATTGTGCCTAGTGCAAAATTAAGATTTAAGGGGGTTTTAATTACATAAAAAGTCACAGACAAATAAGCTCCTCAGTTTTAGCAAAAGCAATGTGGTAAATGAACATAGAAGTTTAGGGAGGACCGGAGTGAAGTCAAATGCAGAGGAAAGAAGCCTACATAATAAGTAACAGATTGTACTTTCTCTCCCCCACCCCCCCCCCCCTCCCCAGTCATTTGAGCAAATGAGAAAATCTGGGCAACCAGGTGCAACCAGTTGTATGTTGGACACGTTGAAGGAACATATAAAACATCCACAAATTAATTTGCATACTCTTAATCATCTAAACCTCAAGAATTAACACTTCAAAAAAAAAAAACATAACCTGAGAGCGGCATTTTCTTGTTGCTATATGCACAGCTGTATTTCCCTTTTTGTCACGTTCATTTAGTACTGAACAATCAGCAAGCAGCAACTCCTCTATAATTGCAGGATCTTGGCCTTTAGCAGCCATATGGAGTGCTGTTTGACCCTTCTTATCTTTGATGGAGACAATTCCAGGGTCCCTTTCTACAAGTATTTTGACCATATCAAGACGACCATATCTAGCAACATTATGCAAAGCAGTTTTCCCATTTTTCCTGACAATTCTTGCTGCGCTGTCATCTGTGTCCAATATGGCATTCACCACTTCCAGCTGATCCTGAACAGCAGCCGAGTAGAGTGGAGATGTATTCGAGGAATCACATGACATACAAAGCTCAGGCCAGATGTTCAGCATTTGTCGCACAATCTCTGAGTACCAAAAAAAAAAAAAAAAAGGCAGGTTCAGCATTAATTACTTGTACATGAATTCAAAATTGATCAGCTCCCAGAGAGATTTTAAATCATATATTCTGGAAACGAGTTCCTGTTGAACAGGAAAGCTATACTTCTCTGGGATAAATGACTTGGAACTTTCCACATATCATTAATTTGAAGAGATCATGAACCCAACTAAAATACAATATAAAAGTCTAAAACTTTTTCCTTGACAAATAATAAGGAAAAATGTTAAAGATCTGATCAAGTAACATATATATTATAAAATAACCAACTAACACTAGATTTGAAACAATAATATTATAACAATATAAGAAGGAAAATTTGCTAAGAATAAGTCAACCTTTGCATGGTTAGCTCAAAACAAGTCAATCTTTTGATTAACTCAAAATAAGTTAACTTTTAAGGGATATTTTCTTTTAATAGGTCAAATGACCTACAACCTTTATCACTTTTTTTTATTGGAAAATAATTTATTTTAATTAATTATTAAATTTTTTAAGAAAAAAACCTACCACTACAGGCCATCCCTTCAACCCCCCCCCCCTTCCACTCTAGCCATCACAACACAGACCACCTCCCCCACGGATGCTTTTCTCTCTCCCCTCCAACCGCCAGCCGTCCCCCACCCCTAACCCCTATCTATCTCTTCCTCATCCTTGACGGCAGCCAACCCCTTTCCCTGCCTCCTCTCTTAGCATCGGCCTTCACTGGCCGAGATCAATCACACTGAAAACCTATGTTACTCGGACTCTTCATTTTACCTCAAGTACCCGTGTCGGACCCTTGACCCTCGGACATGGGTATGACACATGGACACTTCATTTCAGTTGAAAATCATAAAAAATGTCACAAAATAGCCGAGTCGGACACTTGGATACGTACCCGTGTCGGACATGGGTACCCGAGTCCGAGTAACATAGCCGAAAACCAACTAAAAACCACCATACGTAACTCAAATACCCACATTAATCTCTGAATTACCACCATAGTTACCCCAAACCCATCCCCTAATCACCGTAACCAACCCCTAACCAACAAAAAGCCACCCTACATCCCGATTCAACCTACCTGAAACCCATAAAAGAAATAGAGAGATGGGCGAGGAGTACAGATGGCAATGGTGGGAAGGAATTGAAGAGAGAAAGAGATTGACGGTGGTCGACGAGGGAGCTAGATGTGGCCGGTGGGGTTTAGGTGGGGGCTTGTTCTGCGACGGAAGGAGGAGAATTTTTGTAAAAAATTAATATCAAAAAATTTAATCAAACATTTAATTTTGATTAAATTAAAATTAACCAATCATTTTATGTTATGTGACATACTTAACCTGAACAACCGGTTACCCTTAAAAACAACAAGTCATGACTTATTTTGGAAGATATATTAAAAAGGTTGACTTATTTTGAGCTAAACGGACAAAAGTTGACTTTTTTTTTTGACAAATTTTCCATATAAGAAATACTTGGAATCATGTACAATACTGTGAGACAAGCTAGGGACTTTATGTGTCTTAAACATCCTGGTTATAAGTTATAACCCACAGTGGAAAAGAGAAATAAAACTTAATAAACTAAAAGAAGAAAACAATTTATGGGTTTGATCTTGATGTAGTTCAAGATCAAATGCTAGGCTTCTTAAGCAAGTAAACGTGTGCCTCACCTACAAAAGGTCCGGATTCATTTATGCATCTTTGTGGAAATATTAATCTTAGGTATTATCTCAACCTTGTCTAACTTTGTGTGGATTAAGATAGTAACCCTTCAATTCATTAAACATTGTGATTCGTGAAAATGTATTAATTTTTGGAAAATGATAGACATGCCTAAGTGTTACATATAAGAATTGAAGCTTAATAAGGAAATAATAAGACTAACTAAATATTATTTACACCAATCTATGTGTGATTTTGTCAAAAATTCCCAAATTTATACTATTTTAGGAAATGCATTTAACCCAAAGGTAGTGTTTTCTTGTATTTCATTGATTTTCTCCCAAAAAATCAAGGCCCAAAAAATCAGAAAAGTTCCTTGGAATGTGAACAAAATCTAAAAATGGACTGTTTTGTTGAAAATTCCACATCAGCTTAGGTGTCCTATATCTCCCCCTCAAAATGCTTAAATTGTGAGTTTCAATGAGAGAAAAGACATTCATGCTCATGTTATGCTAAACACAAGTCTCATGAAGGTTTATAATTATATTTAATGGAGCTAAATGGTGTGCACTTAAAGAATTTTAAGGTTCCGTTTTGTGATGCCCCGTCATGATTAGTGTAATTGTATCTCCTTAGCTATATTCTTTTTCCATTAAAAGAAGTTGATGGATACTTCAAAGGAGCAAAAGGGTTGGAGCAAGAGGACCTAATATAAGAGCATGTAAAGAACTAAGCCCGAGGATTATGCAAATACTAGCACTAGAGTTTTATATATTTAGTGACTATAAGATCGATTACACCCCTGATCATAGTTAAAATTAGTTATACAGCTATTTTCTTGCTCATTTGTTAACAAGTCGCTCCTAATAAAAAAGTAGTGGAATCTAAGAGCAATTATACCCCCGATCATAGTTAAAACTAGTTACACCTAAGGCTATTTTCTTGCTCATTTGTCAATAAGCCGTTCTCAAAATGAGCAAACGAGCAAGATTGCAAGAATCTACCTTAAAGCTTTCTAATTCTAGTTTTAGTTACATCCGGATGTATAATAAAGGCTCCGGCAATTGACAGTTATACACCTAACAAAATTCATTCAATAATCAACCTCAAAATAAACCCAATAAAAAATAAAATCGAACAATTGAAATCAAACCATCCAAATTCAAAAACCAATCAAATCAAAAATTAAGAAAGAAAATATTAAACATACCTAAATGACCACGCTTAGAAGCAATATGAAACGCATTGAAATCAGACTTAGACCTAATCATCGCAACCCCCACATCACAAAAAGCAACCAAATAAGTAAAAACCTCAACCAAATTATTCATTGCAGCAATAAACAAAGCAGTTTCTCCAGAACTATTTTGCAACGCCATTAAAGCAGGAATTGAAGCTCGTTCATCATCTTCAGCCAATTTGTTGATAATTTGGTGTAATGATTGAAGATCACCGGATTCAACAGCAGAGAAGAACTGCTGGTGTTGGTGCGTAAGTAGCCGAAGAAGAATTGGTGGTTTGGAGTCCATTTTCAGTCGACGAGTGAGTAGAAATGGTGCGTAGTTGAGTTCGTCAATGAGAAGAAGGAGAAAGGAGAGAGAAATAATGGTGTAGAGTAGAGTACATGTGGTGGTAACTTCTCGCTTTCTTCCCCATCTTTTTCACTCGTTTTCACGACTTTTGACGACTTTTTTGGTTTAGTGAAAGTTGAACATGTTATGGTATTTTTGTTGGCCTTTGATTGAAAAAGTTATTGGAGATTCCTGTAATAATATGTTAGGCTATCACGGGCTGGGGGCAGGGTTAAATTGGTACAAATTCTTGTGTAAACCTGGTCCATCTATTTTAATTCATCTCAATACAAATAAAACACAACTCAATTGTACTTATTCTTCTTCCTGCATTTTTACATCTTCTTCTTCTTCCTTTTTTTTTTTTTTTGTTAATTTTTTGTTCCTTCTATACAAAATCTCTCTCTCTCTCTCTCTTTTTTTTTAAAAAAAAAAATCTGATCTCTTTTTATTTCTATCTCGATTTTAATTTTTTTTTTTCAAATTCTTATTTTCTCTCTCCTCTATTATTTGATTTTTTTCCATTAATTTTTTCCATTGATTTTCTGCATTTAACGTGATGGAAATTGTTGATATTCCTAAAGAGATCAATCCAGGTTAGTTATTATGAATTCATTGTGATCAATATTAATTAATTTTTTGATTTTGCAATGAATTTATGGATGAAATTATTGTTTAATATCAATTGAATTTGTTGCAACTAATCTGATCGATTTCAATCGTAATCCATTATGATCGATTAATTTAGTAAAAAAAAAATTGGACATTGCAAATTTTGAACATTTAGTAAAAAATTTGAACTATTACACATTTTGAACATTTGGTAAAAATATCTGAACAATCACAATGTACCACGTCTATACTTTTGAACATTTAGTAAAAAAAATGAGCAATTCTAAATTTTGAACATTTAGTAAAAAAAATCTGAACTGAACATCGAAAATTTTGAACATTTAGTAAAAATATTTGAACAATCGTAATGTACCACGCCTATACTTTTGAACATCTTGTAAAAAAAATATGAACGATTGCAAATTTTGAACATTTAGTAAAAAAATCTAAACTAGACATTAAATTTAGTAAAAGTATTTGAACAATTGCAATGTACACGCTTATACTTTCGAACATTTAGTAAAAAAAATCTAAACGATTGCAAATTTTGAACATTTAATAAAAAAAATCTGAACTGAACATCAAAAATTTTGAACATTTAGTAAAAGTATCTGAACAATCGCATTGTAGCACACCTGTACTTTTGAACATTTAGTAAAAAAAAATCTGAACGATTGCAAATTTTGAACATTTGGTAATAAAAAAAAATGAACTGAACATCGAAAGTTTTGAACATTTAGTAAAAATATCTAAAAAATTGCAATGTACCATGCCTATACTTTTGTACATTTGGTAAAAAAATCTGAACGATTGCAAATTTTGAACATTTAGTAAAAATCCAAACTGAACATTGAAAATTTTGAACATTTATTAAAAATATATGAACAATCGCAAATTGCAAAAAATTAACTAATGAAGAAATTTAATTAACGGTTAATTGCAAATTTTAAGAAATTTAAAAAAAATTTAGGTTCAGAAATTTTATTTATCTTTGATCTACATGTGTTTCTTACTTTTTTTCCATGGCAATTCTCGAATTTATAGAGAAGAGAGAAGTTTTTCAGCAATTGTAAGAGTAAATGTTCATAATTGAATCTTTTGTCAGTTTTGTTAGAGTGGAAAGAAAGAAAATCAAGAGTATGGGCCGCGTAAAATGAGTTTTGTATTGTATTTGGGTTGGTGATGGTCCACCTACTTTAGATGGATCAAGGTCTATAATAGACCTATTGTTAAGTTGGGGCAAACTTTTGTTTTAAAATCGGGTTGGGTTGGGTCAGGCTTGAAATTTGTGTAAAAAAACCATTCCAAATCCGACATTTTTGGGATTGATAAGGTTTGTTTTGATTAAGCTTGAATATTTGTCACAAATTCACAATGAAGATGGATGTTAAGATGTTATCTAAAATTATTAATAAAGGTAAAAAATGAACTTAATCTAGTGACTTGAATTTTGGTATGCATGCAGCATGAACACAATGACATAAATACATAATATGACTAAAAAAATGAGCTAGACTAGACCCGACCCGACTTATCCAAACCCTACTTTACGAGCAAGATTGACACCTACACCTAGAATCCTAGATTGTTTTAAAAGAATCTTTAATTTATGTTTTATCTAGGAAAATTGGTTTAAAATAATTTCAACTATCAACGGTGTGTGCAAAATATTACAATCTCAACTATTTGCTACCAACAGCACAACCTTTTGTACTATATGTGCAAAATGGTACGACGGCCACTAAAGAAGAAAATTTTAAGGAATATTCATATTCAATATTATATTATTTTTTAATATTAAAGTATTTATTTTCAAAATATATTTTATGAAAATAATTTCATCCTACCTAAATTAATAACACATCACCCCTTTATTAGGCTAGTAAACAAAGTGGAAAAATTATGCTACAAGTTTTAATCGTTGTAACTTAACACTTTTTTCTTTATTTTTTAAATATGACACTTTATTAGTGGTAAAATTTTGTTGATTAATTTGTCTGCTTATCAAGTGTAATATCTTTCTTAAAATGTGTTTCATGTCAAAATAGTGTGTTATTGTAATTTAAATGTAGGAAGTTTGTATTTTGGAAAAAAAATTAATAATTAGTAGTATAAAATAATACAATAATAAATAGGAAAAATAAGAAAATAACTCCACAAAAAACCTAAATTTTGATTATAACACCACAATAAAAAAAAATTATTATAACACCACAAAAAAACTAAAAATTTTGATTTCACCACCTCGTAACGAATTTTTGGATGGAATCCGTTAATAGGGTCATAATAGACACGTGTCAAATGCCGATTGGTTTTTTTAAAAAAATTAATAAAAACAAAAGAAAAAAACCTAAACCCAGCCAGCCCCACCACCGCGCGGCACCACCTTCCCCAGCTGCGCCGACAACCTAACCTAAGCCACCGCCATCCCCTTCCCCTATAAAAACCGGTGAAACCCTCCCTTCCCCTCTTCCCCCTCCCCAAAAACCACCCCAACCCTTCTTAACCACCACAAATCACCACCTACCCATCATAACATCAACCCCCAAAAAACATCTTTTCTTACCTTCCACCCTCAAAACGGCCGAAATCGACAATGACAGCCCTCGATTGGTCGATTTCGGCCGCTGATTTCGCCAAAATGGGTGTGGATTTTGCGGCGCTTTGAGAAATGGTGGTGGATTTCGCACGCGGTTTGGTATAGGTTTTGCAGTAGTTTAAAGAGCTTGGGGTGGATTTTGGATAGGGGGAAGGGAAGAAGAGGTGGAGCGGCGATTGAAGGGATGGTTTTCGACGGTGTAGGAGCAGGGGATGCTGGCGGCAGTCGCAGCTGGGGCTGGTGCGGGGCGGTGGGCTGGCTGGGTTATGGGTTGGGTTTTTTTTATTAATTTATTTAAACCTCTAGTTACTTGACATGTGTCTTCAAGGGCCCCATTAAAGAATTTCATCCAAAATAAACCGTTAAGTTGTGGTGAAATCAATTTTTGGGATTTTTTTTGTGGTGTTATAATAAAAGTTTTTTTTTTTTTATTGTGGTGTTATAATCAAAATTTGGGTTTTTTGTGGTGTTATTTTCTAATTTTTGTAGGCGTCGTTCGAAGTGCGCCTACGTTAAACATGTAGTGAATATGCTTGGCACTCTTAGGAAGTGGGAATTGACATAATACGATTAGGGACAAATAAAGTAGGGAGCCGCCAACAAGTTTATAAGGAACTTGTAAACCGTTCACAGATCATAAAAAGGCAACCATGAATAAGGGACAACAAAGGCAACAACGATTGACCCGTGAAGGTTACACCCCATTCATAATCCATGAGATTACTTACTCCATATGGTTCGGAACCACGAAAGGAGGATCGGGGATGATGGTACGAAGTGAGTCATGGAGTCACATTTGCCCGTATTGGCCTTTACTCGATTCTTATAGTGAAAAGTGATTCCTGCGATCTCAAAGGCATACAAACAAAAATTCAATTTGCTCCAAACTATTATTATGCTAAATTGGTTTAATATTAATGCAACACATTACTCTAAAATATTTGTGATCACTTGAATTAAGCAACAAAATTAAAAAGGAACCTAAACCGGTTGTCCAAATTATCTTATTAGGCCTGATTTTCAATTACATATTCCCTTTAAAACATGCAATATGGTGATCAAAATAATAATAGAATAACATCAATATTAGAAGCAATTTAACAATAATAGTGTTAGTCAAATCAAATATAAAATAACCTAATCATGATACTAGCAATATAAAATAAAATAAGAGTAATTAATTTAATTAATTACTTACATTCAGCACGTTCCTTTAAATTGCTACATCATGAATAGACTGTTAGTAATTTCAATAAAAAAATTAAGTAAATGAAAATTAAATTAAATAAAAAGTAGAATTGATTTGGTCCAAACCCTCGGTTATTTGTACCTTTCACGCCTTGGTTTAAGGACGGAACCTCGGGTTAAGTATAGACTCCTTGGAGTGCTTAGGGGAATTATTATGGAAGAATAAGGAGGCTAGAAATTAGGTTAAAGAGGGAGAAGAGAATGATTTTTGGTGTAAGGTGAGAGAGAATGATTATTGATGCCCCGAACTGCAGAAAGGGGGGTCCTATTTATAGGGAAAATGAGCAGAGGGAACACGCGGAACCCTAAAAAGATAAAAAAACCCTAAAAAGATAATACCGTGTCACGGCAAAGAGCACCGTGACACGGTGACAGACACCGTCAGACGGGGGAAGATCTCGTGACACGGGGAAAAACTGAGTGACGCGGGAAATAATTAGGTTACACGCGGAGAAAACACGGGGCAATCCCGTGGCACAGGATGTGCACCGTGACATGGGAAGAAATGCCGTGACACGGCATTGTTCACCGTGGCACAGTGCAGTATGCCGTGTCACGGTGCAGTATGGAATATCCCCGCGTCACGGAATGGGCACCGTGACACGGGAAATTGCACCATGACACGGTGCAAAATCCCATGACACGGGAGAAAATTGTGCAGAAATACAAAAATAGGCACCGTGTCACGGGAATCAGCCCCGTGACACGTC